AACCCACATATATAGAATTTTCGGGTATATCGAACTCGCAAGTTAGCCCCTTGAATTTCCTTGGTAAAAGTATAGGAATTTGCACGTTTATATCGAACGGTATTTTTACCCGCCTGCGGATATAATGCCGCGCAAGCTGGAAGGTGTGCTTCGGCACTCGCCGCGCCCAGCGATCTCTGCGGCAGTGCGGTGTTGCGCGCGAGTTGGAAGGTGCGTCTTGGAACTTGCAGCGCCCGGCAACTTCCGCGTGGCAACGCCTTCGCCAAAACCCAAATTGCTTGAAAAAAGGTAAGGGCGAGAGGGCTCAGACTGCAGAGTCTCTAACTTGCGGAACAGCTTTTTTTCCCCTTGTTTCTCCCTCTCATGCTTTCTCCGTCTACCCATCGGCTCGGACAGCAGGAACGAAGGAGCAGACACCCTCTTCCTTTTGCCTGTTCTTTCATTTTTTGTTGCTGTTTTGCAGGTTTAGATCAGCCAACCACAGCTCGTGTCTTTTGCTGTTGCCCTTGCAGGTGGCCATTTCCTCGCAAACGCTTTGTTACTACCGTTGTCGCTAGTACGAAACGACTGGCTCCCAAACCGTAAGATAAAATGCGACATTATTCTGCGTTCATGGCGAACTATCTGTCTTGCCGTCCCTCGCGAGCTCTGTGTCCTCGGCTTTTTCTTCTTCCCTCTCAGAATCGCGCCTTCCAGTTGCTCCGTTCCGGTTCATTTTTTTTCAACATCATCCGGGGTAGGGCCAAGGTGAATCGGAGGCTTCGAGCAAGCAAATCTTTTGCACAGGACGATTCACAACAGAACTCTTGGCGAGACGGATGGCGCAAGCGCACACAATGTTATCTCTCCCTGGCGCACGCAATTTTCGAGTGGTGGAAAAAAAAGAGCGAATGCTTATTTTTCTGTCACCAAAACTCTTTGTAAAAACAAATTTAATATCCCGTAGAAGGTGTAATGAACTCCTTTAATGATTATTTCCTTTTCTACTCTCGTAAGCAGCTGCAACGCGTCGGCAATATCACGTGGTGACGCTCGGTCTTGCGCTGCTTTATCCTCTCCTTGGCGGCTTTTGTAGCGTCTGCCTCGCTTTCCAGAGCGAGAAGGCAGGCCGTCAGGCTTGCGATCCTCTCTTTTTCTCCCGTACGATCGCCCATAACGTGTCGAGACTCGAGAGCAGTCGAGAGCAGCGAAAAACAAATACAGTAAACAAAAAAGCACAGTGGTGCCAGACGAACTTGTGCACGTCGCTAGTTATGGGGATGCTTCCTTATCTAGTGCAAAAAACTTTCACATTGGTGTTTCTTCATCTCTTATTCTTAAATTTATTTGAAGAAACGAGCAGTGCAACAAGTGTTTAATTTGTGAATCGTGATACATCGTTTAATTTTCATTGCTTCTCTTTTAACTGCTAGCGCCACGCTTTCGCTAGCGTCTTCGAACGAAAACACTAAAAGGAGATCGTTGCTGCCGTGTGTCTGCGCCGCAAACACCTCTTTGTTAAAAGTCTTTCAACTTCGTAAAAGACCGCTTACTTAAAAGACTTTTTGCGCGCCCGTGTGACACAGGTATTACAGTGAAGGAAAAAGACACAAAAATAATTTATTTGAGGGAATAACCTGATAGGCAACTGCGTTCAAGTGCTCTTGCTCAGCTTGATCCAGTCCATAATGGACGTCTGTTGCAAGTCACTTGCAGGTCTGTTGCAGGTCCAATCGTTGCAGGTCACTTCGTCAACGGCAGCGGCCTCACCGGCAATAGATTGGAACACAAGTCCGTGTCTTTTTCTGAAGCGATCGAGCCATCCGTCGCTGCAGGCAAACTCGATGTTCATTCGTAGGGCAATTTCCTCCGCTTTTTGCCTTCAGAACTACGCCATTCACAGGCAGATTCATGCTACAAGCACGTTGGATCCATGGGAGCAGAACATCCTCCAAGCCCTTGTGCGCAGCTGTCCGCATCTTCTTTCGCTTCGGCGCGAAGTCTCCATCGCTCAATGCAGCGGTTACCCGTGCACTATCCTTCACGATGCCCGTTAGCGTGCTCTTCGCAATCCCGAACTTGCGTGCAATCTCGGTCTTCGTGAGCTTGCCAGCTCTCACTTCGGACAAAATTTCTGCTTTCCTTGAAAGCTCAATTGGCTTTCGTTGTACAGTTGGCTTGCTGGCCATTTTCAACGAGACAAGCGAAGCAAACAAAGCGCATGGAATAGAAAATGTGCGATCGCAGGCTCGGCGCAGAGAAAGAACTCATTTCCTTAGCGATGGCGGTGGCAGTGACGGCGAGGTCGGAGAGGGACAACATCCACGTGGAGAGAGCTGTGGCTGTACGACGCGAGCTCACATGTTCCCGCTGAAAAACGGCATTGGTCATGAGAGCTGCTCTTGGTCATGAGAGCTGCTCTCTTCGCGAATAGGGAGTCTCGGTCATCATTTTGTTTTTTTACTTTTTCCCCTGCTTGCTTCTTTGCGGCCGATAGCCGATCTCAAAACTCCCTCGCTCTCTCGTTTTCTTCTTGTTTGCTTTGCCGCTCACTCTGCGGGTTGAAGTGCGGGTGATACCGCAGGCCATTCTTTTGTCGCTGCCTCCCTCCCTCCGCCATGGCGCGAATTCGCTTCGCGCCGTTGCTGCTTTAGTATTTTCTTTCCCTCCGGCCGTGGGAATGCCCCCCCAAGATTGCCATAATTCCTCTGTAGAATCGCCTCGGTCTCCCGGTCTCCGCGAAAGTGTTCGTCTTAACAGAAGAGCAGGTGCAAGGCTGTTCGTCTTCAGCGGATTTTTTTTTGCATTGGGTCTATGGAAAACCAAACAAACATTCTCACGTTGTTCGGCATAAGTGATGATTCGTCTTAAACGAGTTTGTCTTAACGGGAGTTCACTGTATATGCCTGCTTTTTAAAAGTGAGCGCGACGAACATTCCGGTAGATGACCCGATGCTGCTAAGACAGATGCTTGGGCTAGTTCGTGATTGGGAATCAACATATTTGCAGAGCGCAAGACTACGAGTAGTTACGACTTAACTACAGAAGAAAAGACAAGGACAGAAAGATGCTGATGGCTAAGGTCGAATGGTTTGCCACTGCACTTGGTGAAGACAACTTCGCTGACAACACCAGGTGGCTTCACCGAATTAAGCAGTGCTACAACATCGTTAGCAAAACCATTTCTGGTGAAAACGAAGCTGTCAGCAGCCAGGACATCCAGCAGAGGATGATGAAGGAATGGCCGAAAATCTCCACGAAGTTTTCTCCCGCAGATATCTTCAATGCCTGGCGAGATGTGAAGATGGACACAGTGGTAAACTGCTTCCGCAAGGCAGGCTTCGAGACGGCGAAACTTGCAACAACCGGTGAAGACGGTGACGACGTGTTTCACGAGTTGTCTCCCTCTTCCGGCAGCAGTTCCACACGAAGTGTCTGTGGACGATTTCATGGAAACGAACTGCAACGTCCAGGCCATTGCGAGCCTCGCCAACGAGGACATAGTAGTTGTGGTCGCAGGGACCCAGGATGCCCAGGCCGACAGCTCATGTGACGAGGAGGATCATTTGGACGAGGCGCTGGCTACACACACGTTCTTCGCTGTCGAAGTGGCAGCATCAATTGCCATTGTATCAGCCACATGGAGGGAACCGGGCTGTCGCAACTGGACGGCCATGATAAGATCGAGACTGGTGTCTTCAACTTCATTTTAAAAATGAAGAAGCAGGCCAAGATAAGCGTTTTTTTCGCATAAATAAATCATTCTGTTGTGGCATGTGTGTGGAATTGTCATTCTTGAATGCGCCTATTGTAGGTGATGGTCCGCTACAGGTAAGCTCTTGGGGCCTGTATTTTTTTTTATATTGAATTTTTCATATATCGAACTAATTCGTGATTCCCTTCGAGTTCAATATATCCGTGTTCGAATATCTACTGCATCCTCGCCGGGAAAAAAAAATAGACAAGTTTTTGGAGTAGTGTCATGCAATGAAGTTTTGTATGAAACTGGAATAAAAATAAGGTGGAGATGGTCAAAACGATACAGAAAGCCTACGGTGACAACGAAATGAAACAAAGCCACACTTGATGTGGCACAAGAGGTTCCGGGAAAGTCAGTAGTCTAACAATGACAACGACCACTCTGAACGTCAGTCGAAGTCAAAAACACACGACTCCATGCAGAAAGTGTATAAAGTATTGGATAAGGACAGGGGATTGAGAATAACCCGAAAAATTTTTCATACTGTTTTGACGAAGGATCTTCAAAGAGAAAAGTCAGTATGAAAATGGTGCCAAATGTCCTGACGAGTCAGGTGAAGGAGGAGGCACACCGTGCTGATTGTCTCCAAGTTGCATGTCAAAATTGGTGTGACAGCACTTCTCCAGTCACTGTGTGGCCTCGATCTGGAACCACCAGACTTTTTTTCGTCCCCAGTGATCAAACCAATGATGCTCCTCACTGACAGCTTCTACAGTGATTGGATTAAACGTTGGCAAGGCTGCATTAAACCGGAGGGAGAGTAGTATTTTGAAAAGTTTTGAAAACACTGTAAACTTTTATTCGATAAATTATTTGTAAAACGAAAATTCTAAGAACTTTTGGGACAGACCTTGTATGCAAATAAAGGATGGTACCTGTGACGTAGGTATAAAGACTGCAATACTAAAAGGTTTCCCAGATTTGTGTCTGTAGCCCAGAGCTGCTGCACTGGTGTAAGCTCATCATAGGATGTGCTTTCATGCCATGCTTCCCACAGTCTGATCGTATTGCTTTTGTGCTTTGGCATTTGTGAGGCGTTGTTGTGTGCCATGCCATGAACGAGAGGCATCTTACAGACACAATCTTACATTTTAGTGCCATTCTGGAAAGGTGCCTTCCCCTCCACTTTGCCGTAGTTTTTGACTTGCTGGGGGGGGGGGGGGGGGGGTATACTAGGAGTTTATTGTGTTTGCTTTAACAGTGTTATTTCGTGGCTCTCTAGAGTTCATAGACAGAGCTGAGCAGATTTCCTAGTACTCACCTCGTCTGAGTAAAGGTTGCTTGAAATAGGTGGGTATTCACTTGACACAATCTTCTTAACAAGTGAGTAACTATTCTTCATGTCATTTGCAAATGGGGACTGCAGAGCTGCCATCTGGGAACCAAAAAAAAATTAATGTTTTAATATTGCACACTTATTGAAATGCAAGTCCACACTGCAACCTGCATGCTAGAAGAAGAAAACAAGAGCACCCATGAAAGTGAGCTACGAGATCAGCAAAAGCAAAAAAACTTTGACATAAGAAAGAGTACCCGCTGGTATAGGCACTAATGCTAGTGCTATATTGCATGGATGCCAGCTAAACCACAGATACCAAAACGTTGGTAACCCACAATTTACAGAGTGTGCTGCATATTCTAAGCTAAGCTCTGCTGCAAGTCTAGTGCTACTGCCTATTTCAAAAACATCCAACCACACAAAAATGCATTGGCTATGTTTTAAATAAACATGCCAAGCAATCTCAAATATTATTGATAATCACAACACCTATAAGACCCTGCAAACACTTTTAAAACAAGCTGCACAGCCACATCAAAGGGACTTCCATATGCAAGGAAGCTAGCTTTCAGCTTATTTTAGGGGCACGGTAGGCAATAACATTATTACATGCTCAGAGAATGTTTGTTAAGAAGTCAAACAAAGACATACAGCATGCCCAGCACGCTTGGCTTGCCCTACAACCTGCAGTGTAACCGAAATTTTAAATGTGAAACATTTCTTAGCTGACTGCAGAAATTTTGTCAGTGAATGAGAGAGCGAGCAAGTCTGTCTGCTCATGTGTCTGTGAATGAGTCGGTAAGTGAGTGAGCAAGTCTGTCTGACCACCTACATCTGGGCACACTTGTGATCGCCGCCTTAAGTGAGGTAGAACAAAGTCATTACGGAAGGGTTAGTGTGTTCGACGAGTATGTCTGGCTGGTTACAATGTGAAAAATGTGAAAATCCCAATGCGCATGTCATCAAATGCTTTTCCCTAGACACACGAGGCCCATACCCGCAAACCACAGGCCTCGGTGAGTCGGTATGAGCCGCAGATTATATAAACCCAGGAACGGTAAGAACAGACACCGGTAATTAAAATGCAATAGCATCAAGAAAAACTGCCATTGGCAGTATTATGCCAACAAATCTGATTGATTGATTGATATATGGGGTTCAACGTCCCAAAACCACTATATGATTGATTATGAGAGGCACCGTAGTGGAGGGCTCCGAAAATTTTGACCACCTGGAGTTCTTCAACATGCACCCAAATCTTAGCACACGGGCCCACAGCATTTCCGCCTCCATTGGAAATGCAGCCGCCGCAGCCGGGATTCGATCCCACAACCTGAGGGTCAGCAGCCGAGTACCTGAGCCGCTAGACCACCGCGACGGGGCCCAACGAATTCGAAGAATAAATATAAAGATCCCAGCAGGAATCGCACCCGAGAATTCTGTGTGTGGCAATCAAGTATTCTAGCACAAAGCCACGCCAGGTCTTGAAGCTGCTTTGGAAAAAAATCCCTATGCAGGCGTAATATGTTGGTGAAATGACACTTGTGGTTGCAGTGCTGGCTATTAACGCGATAGCGTTAAAGAGCTCGCTTCGCAGAAATTCCGGCATCGGCGTCATTAGATGTAAGCAAAAATTATTATCTTGTGCGTGATCGAAAAATCGAGAAAGATACAAATAAAATAAATAATAAAAAACCCTGGGTTTGAGTGAATATTTAACCTGGGTCGTTTGCATGGCAAGCGGGTGTTCTACCACATAGCCACGCGTCTGCTCGTGAATACAGTGAAAATAACTTCCTCTGCTTCGAAATGCAGTTGAAGTAACTTTCATGTTTCACAAGAACACGTCTCCTGTATATATGCTTCACAATACAACATGAAATAATGCAGTATTAATGCAGAGTACAAGCGTACATTGCCTACAAGAGTCAAAACATGTAATTATCCTAATGACTTCATGGTTTAAAGGCAGTTACCCATTACAAAAGGCACACATTACTTCGCCTATTCTCTTAAGGCCACATAATGGGTGCATAGAATGTTCGAAAAAATTTTATGCAGTAAGTGTTTGAAGTATGCACTACGGATAGGATATCACTATCGCGTTCAACTTCAAAAGGTGAAACATAACGGTACCCAAATTTTTAAAATTTTACAAACATTACATAAGTACTCCTACGATACAGGTGTCATGTCAGGTTAATTTCGATTGTATACGTAAGCACGATTCACTGATGTTTGTTTATGTAGCACAAGCCAGTGGTACCATCTTTGCAAGCACAAGTGCTGCATATCAGCGTACCACTTCCGGTATTAGTAATACCTAGTATGTTGCTAAATCGTTAAGAAACTGTAAACAACTGCTTACATAAAACACATGTGATTGCTCAACATATGTCTTTACAACGAACACTTGTACATGTCATTAGTGTAAGTTTGTAATAGATGGATGGATGAAAAACTTCATTATGGTCCTTTGGTGCGTGCGTTTAGCGTGCAGCGGGCTGCTCCCACGTCGGGACAAAGAGACGTTTCCCCTCCACACTCACCTTCCCTCTGCATGCTTCGCATAACATCGATTACCAGGGTACGTGGGATCTACAGAATTTATTTTTCCAGTATGTAAGTAGTATCCCTATTTGTCTTGTTCTTGAATTCAGTTCATATAATAGACCACTTAAGTGATTAATCACACTATTATTAGCATTTTGGCAAGGTCCTAAAGCAACTTTCAAGTGATCTCAAAGAGCCCACAAAGAAGAGGCTTTAAATTTTTTTCAAAAAACTAATGTTTCTCAAAAAGAAACAAGAAACAAATTTAGATGCCACCAGAATGCAACAGGCCAAATAATCATTATTATTTTTTTAGATGTGGACGGTGGTGTTCTCAGTATGGTAGTATAAAATTTCTGCAATCTACTATGTGAACAGCCATTTTTATATTCTGCTCACTGACGTATGAGTAGTGAGGCATCCCTAGTACAAAATATGATTGCTTGTACATAAGGGAAACAAAAAACTTCCCTGAAAAACTATCTACACAAAAACAATGGACGAAATTTTTCCTGCCAAAGGAACTGCTTTTTTAAGATATTCATCAGTGCCCTTAACGAGCACTGCGAGGTTCATGACCACTGCGTCTCCTTTGACAATGCCCGCGTTGTTGACCTAGAAGCAAACTCTCTCACCCCGCCCCGGTAGTCTAGTGGCTAAGGTACTCTGCTGCTGACCTGCAGGTCGCATGATCAAATTCCGACTGCGGTGGCTGCATTTGTCATGTAAGCAAAATGCTGTAGGCCCGTGTGCCTTGATTTGGGTGCACGACCCCAGGTGGTCAAAATTTCTGGAGTCCTCCATTACGGCATCTCTCATAATCATATGATGCTTTTGGGATGTGAAACCCTACATATCAATTAATAATTAGAAGCAAACTCGCAGAAGTGGCTCTTCACGGAATCATGGCACTTACAGGCGACACCCCAAAAACATCAAACACCCAAATGTTTATTTCTATGACTTTCACCACGTCTCGGGAAACCAATGCAGTGGCCACCACTGACCAAAGAAGGGAGTCAGTTGTCCATATATGTTTTTCTTTAAAACAATGAAGACCTAATAAAACATTCGACAGAACCCAAGTACGTGGGAATCGACGTTATGCGAAGCATGTGGAGGGAAGATGACCTAGTTGCATTTTTTTTTATTGAGCAACACGTCATGATATGACGCTAAGTATATGTACAAATGTCGCACCCACAGACATATGTTGAAGAGTTGCGGATGTTCATATAACCAGTTGTTTGCACATGCGCAATGATGTCAACTGAAAGCTGCTGATATGAAGCGCTGATACTCGCGAAGATGCTGGCCCTGGACACTGCTACGTAAACAAACTTCAGCGCACGGCAACTAATTACCATTCACGTTAACCCGACGTGATGGCTGCATCAAGGGAGTACATATGCAATGTTTATAAAATTTGGTAGGCAGAACTGCAATCACTGGTGACGTTTCACTATGATTAGCGTCTATTTGAAATGTAGTTCTGAGACCTGGCATAGCTCTGTGGTACAATGCTCGACTTCCACGCAGAAGGCTTGGGTTCGATTTCTGCTGGGACCCTGAAATTTATTATTTGCATTAATCGGGGAGTCTACGCTTCCTATTTCCGGTTTTTGTTAACACTGACTTTCATTCTATGCCATCGATGAGTCGACGCTACCGATGTCGGGTATTTCTTGAAGCTTACCCGTTTAAACTGCCCATGTGTGTTCTCGTCGTTCCTAGGTAAATACTGAATGTCAATCACCTGTGGCACATACCCGCATACCAGCGGCAAATACCCGCCCGTGGGTATGTGCCGCTGTCTGATGGGAAGTGTTTGACGACGTACGCGACTGGATTGTGAGATTATTGATGTCCTGACCAGCGCATTATGATCTTCAAAACATCTTACCCTCCAATGCTACTTTTTGTTCATGTCAAGTTAGGTGGGTACCCAAACGAGAGCACCCAAACGTAAGCGAGCGAGTGAGCGGACGGACGGACAGACGGACGGATGGATAGATGTATACGCTCAAAGTCGCCGAAGCTCTCTAAGAAATGCTTCGCATTTAAAATGCTAGGAAAGTCACGCCTCCATCGTCTTTACACACAAACTCCACGTGAAGGAGTAAATACTTTGCCAAAGCTAAAGTAACACTGCAGTGACTAATTACAAGAGACTCACTAATTGTTTATTAAATTGACAACATCAGGGCAATTGCTTGTATGTGAAAGTTGTGGGCTGTCATAACCTAAAGCGGTAACAATTTCTTGGGAATCACAAAAATTGCACGTTTGATATATTCATCAATGATTCTCAGTGGTGATATAGAAACTGAGTGCACTGGGCATGCAAAAAATGTGGTTACTTTGTTTGTTGCGTTAGGCTGGGGCACCACCAGGCTGGAACTTCCTATGACAAAGAAGTGACTAACTTTCGATGAAAGCGCATTGTTGAAGTGTCCTTCCATGAAAAGTGGTGCAGAGCGATCCGCAACACACAGCCTTCTACAAAGTTCCTAAACCTGATATTACATACCGCATCTTTAACAACCATACGATTGCTGTTTAAATATAACTTGGTTTTTGCTAATTAACATTTGTTATATTTCTTGGAAAAACAGCTGGGTTAACTCTAAATTTCTGAAGCATCTATCTACCTGAGCTTCCTTCTAATATTTACTTAATTACAAATTGTGACAACACATCTGCTGTATGCGGTGAACACCAGCACACTCTATATTGCTTTAAAATGACCACAAGTGACACTCTCCATAGACCCATCTTACTTCATAGAGAAGACAACCAGCTGACCATACGTCTGAACTGAAGTCATACTCGTGCCGCTGGACCCGCTCAGGGGACATGTAATACGGAGTCCCAACTGAAAGAGAAGGTATGAGGTAAGTGAAGTGTAAATTTCGTGAACTTCGACCCCAACAAACTTGTGCACAAGAGTCACTATACTTGGACAGAGCAAGCTTGGTAAATACTCTTTTTAAGGCCCTGAGCTATTTGTAGGAAAAGAAAAAAAATAGCTTTATAATATAAAAATTACCATGAATGCCAAACTGCACATGGCAATGACCACCATCGGGCAGGACAACTGTGGCTTTTTAAGAGCGCTAAAGGCCCCCAGGCACGGTATTTGTATTTCACAAGAAGCTATGAATGGAATATTACTTCCAATTTATTTTTCACACCTCCAATGGCGCTCTTAATAACAAGTGGGGAAATCACAGCTTTTCTTGATTTAAAGAGACTTTGAGATAGGCGAAAGTTTCATGTGAACTTCAGTGAATAATAAAATATCAAGGGTCTTACATCCCAAAACCAAGGTATGATTATGAGAGACGCCATAGTGGAGGGCTCCAAAAATGGGCTCCAAAATTTTTGACCATGTGGTGTTCTTTAACATGCACTGACATTGCACAGAACACGGGTATTATCATTTTACTACCATTGAAATGTGACCGCCGCGACCGGGATCGAACTCGCGGCCTTCAGGTAAGTAGCCGAGCACCCTAACCATTGCTACAACATGGGGGACTGAGCTTCACTCAGGCATATACAGTCGAGTCCACCTATAACGAACATGACATGGCATCCGTTTGCTGTATCCCGAAGTTCATAGTAAATTCATACCTGCCAAGTCTCCCAGATTTGCCGGGAGACTCCCGAATTTGGACCGTTTCTTCCGTTTGTACGGTTGTCATGAAAATCTCCCGGAAATCGAAATTTTTGTGCGTGATCCGGCCGCCTTGACAAAAAAAGCAGCTAGATCCGCTCCAGGCTTTTCGAACCTACCCCATTTTATTATGAATGAGTTTTAAAGACGTTCATCTAAATGTACAGTAAAATCTATGCGAAACTGCGGCAGATACGAATTCGTAAAATTCCTCAGCAGAATTCCACTATGTCTATAGGGCCTAAATTCGAATGTTCCCAACACATTTCCTAATGGAGGCGGGTAATACGAACTTTAGTAAAGAAATCGTCGAATGAAGGCCGAGAGCAGCATACTCGAAGCTTCGGAAGTACGCGTGCGACCGGCGCACGCACTGCCTTCTACAGTGTGTGTGATTGTCGTTGCCACAACCGCTGTCGACGAAACCGTGGTAGCTTTTCATGCAATCATGTATAACTGACAAAGTCCTGAAAGTGTGCGTGCGTCCAACGCTCAACCAGTCAAAGCAATGCTGCTTTCTGCAAACCCTGTGGACAAAACCGCGGCAGATGCGATCGTATACGGCATAAAACGACTTTGTTTTGATGGCGCGTGCGCAGTCAAGCGCACAGGAGTTGAAAAAGGAACTACCATTTCCTGCGACCGCCACGCACAACATCGTGGTCATGGTGGCGCGATAGTGATCTACGAGCTTCAACGGCATGCAGCGGTAGTCTAAAGGCAGTATATGCGTAAAAAAAAGTCACAGTTTCGCCGCAAGGGCGAAGCAATGAATGTGACAGCAACAACTTGGAATGTCACACTGAGACTGGCAAGCAGACAGAAACGCGCAGTGCGCTACTCGCGCACGAATGACGCACGAAAACAATACACACAAGACAACAGCGAACTAACAATGTTTACCGCTCGACACGTAACGCGCTGTTTAGAGAGAAAAAAAAGCAATGCACGTTACATATTCAAAGGTACGGATGAGTACAAACTAACAAGTGTCTCAGTTATACCTCGCTGTGCATGAAAAGCAAGATCTTTTCGCAAGCAGGGCCTGTGCATAGATCGAAGATACCTTTATGGGCCCGGCAACTAACCTAATCGTTCCAGTGAAAGCCGAAGGCACACGATTCTCCCCACCAAAAGATAAGCGCGCGCACAAGCATCGATCTCCCCATCCGCGGGACAAAGTACGCGTCAGAGATAAGCGCGCGTCGGCGCATTGCGATGAGCTGGGCACCGAGTGCAGGCGGCTTTTTTTTTTCCTTTCTAGAGTGTTAATATATATAGATAAGTATACATATGCGGTGAATGACGGCGGTGGCAGGGACAACAAAAAAACAGCCTAGACTGTCAATAACAAAGGGGCCAGACACGTTTTGCCGTTCCTGTCAAAAGAATCTAGTAGGGAGCAAAGCTTTGACCCGCGCTTTTGCGGCAGCCAGCTGCGCCGTCTCGCTTGTTCACGTGCCGCAGTAAGACATACACGAGCTGTTTTGAAGGAAATAAATTCTGCAAGTTGTGTTAATCCTTTGCGATTCTCGCCTTAGTGGGAAACCCTACCTTCGTGTCTTCGGCCACTGCAAGCTGACCGCAACGCCGATGTTTGCGCTTGCGATTGAGACTTCTCACCCCCTCTTGTTTTTCGCGATGTTTTTTGTTTGTTTATTTCTCCCTGGGAGTTTTTTTTTTTGTGTGCCGAAAAAAAATAGGAGCAAATAATTCAGCCACCCTCCCCCACTGCGGCAATCTCCTGGATTCAGAATCCTTGAACTTGGCAGGTATGTAAATCAAACACAGCTTAAAAAATATTATTGCCCGTGAAAACAAAATTTTTTTTTTCCAAAAAAGTCTGCGATGCATGTTTTTCAATGAGCAAAAGCGATAAAAATGGACTAAAGTTTATTTAAAGCATCAGCATGCTTTTAACCGAAACCCTTGGCATATACAAGCTGCCTGAGGCTATTAATGCAGCCCTTTGCTGCAAGCACACTTGTGGGCACTGGCTCCAAAGTTTCGTCGTCGTCATCATCCGATTCCTCTAAATCTCTTCATTCACGATTCCCTCATTCGAGCACGACTGCAAAGGATCGGTATCATCATCGGCCGTAATGAAATCATCGCAAGAGATGTCTCGCCTGCTCTCCCATGTCTGAATCGGCAACACGCTGCCACGAATCTCCACCGGAGTGGTTCTGTTCGAAAGCTTCAGGCTCGGCATTGGGCCCGACGTCAACAAATTCAGCCTCGCGAAAACAGTTTCGCACTTATGTAGCCGTTACCACCGCTCACGAAGCGTTCACCATCTCCACAGCTAAATACCGGGACGCCCGAAGTGCAAAGTTGGCTGCCAGGTGGTCAACACCTATGATCAAGGGCTCCACAACGCGACCGCGGATTACGCTCAAGCCAAGTGGTCGCACTTTCGACATTTTGTTGAGCGGCAGGAAAAAGTGCAACAGGCCTCCCATCGGCTATCCTGACCACACACGCAAACCAACAGCGAGCAAGACGCACACATGCGAGACTCAAGCCAAAATGTGTGGAACTGCTCTGGGCCCGTTTTTAGTCAGAAAACGAAACTTCTGAATTCGAGCCAGCGTGACTGGCGTAGCAGAGCCTCTGGTGGAGATGGGCGAAGGAGTTGTGATAAAGAAAGAATAGCATACTTGCAAGATAAGGGCAAGGAGTTGTGATAGAGTGAAGAGAGGGGAGAATACGGCAGGAAGGCGACCTTCAAAACTAAACACGCAGGATGAGGCAGGTAGAGTAGCTTGCTTGAAAGGTTCATGAAACGCGCATGTGTATAAAAGCTTGGGAGATTGGCCTGCGCATACAGAGGTGAGAGAATCGTTTTGTGGTGCCGGAGGGTTTGCGTGGTCTCACCGACATTGATAATTCTCGATTCGTATTGTGTAACAGCCGAGCTTACGCTTCCGCATGAGTGCGAAGGGCATACTGAGCCAAGTACAAAGTGGGCGAGAACAGGTCCCAAACACGAAATGAATCCCAAATTATCAGAGTTGGTGAAGTAGTGTACGTGCGTGCACTGGAACAATACGACACCGACCCAGACAAGACATAGATGGTCAGGTACAGCCGGTGGCCGACGATGTTGGCAAATGGTCTGGTCACTCCAGGCCAGCGATGCCAATGACAAAATCAGCGATCAAAAACTGACGGGAGACTAGTTGGCCAACCGGTCTTCGAAAGATCGGTGATAATGTGAAATTTGAAAGCACAAGTTTCGTCTGGCGATTCGAGGTGCTCAGAGTAGCTGGAGAACAAAAGACGGAGGGGTGTGTAAGAAAAAACGGTTGGGGAGAGCAACAACTAGGTGGGTGGAGAGGCAGGGTCAGCATTTAACAACAAGAATCTATGGCACCTCGCCAATGGCTTATCGGTGGTTGAAAGTGGTTTCCCGGGAAGTCGCCGAAGCGCCGACTCCGTTCGCTGTAACTGATTGTTGTAAGTGCGATTTTGTGCCATTGAAATACTGTATATTTCCACAGTCACGTGGGTATTGTTCATTATAAGTGGAGCCATTACATGCGGGCTCGACTCTATTACATACTGAATGATCCAAGCCATTTGCAATCCTCTTTGCAACTCGGTGTATCCAGGTTCAATTGTAAATGCTGTTAAGTTTTGTGATTGCTGTAGATCATTCTTTTTTTTTTTACTCCGTTAGTCTAGATTCAAGGTTACTTTTTTTTTGCTAGCTTCTAACTTAAGAACGATGGCATTGAATCGAGTAGTTTTAGTACTAAGCAGTAAATTTTCTGGCCCAGAAATGTCTTCATGCTAAAGCTGAGGACATTTGCAACCTATGCAGCCCAACTTAGGGTACAGCACAGGTCACTGCCGAGAAATACGAAAAGACTTGCCAAGAGAGTTGGCCGCAACACTGTCAGGACTGAAGAATCGTCCCAAGCCCAGATCTCCCAACTTGACTCTCCCGTCGATGGTGATAAACACATTGGCTGGTTTCACATCTGCACACAATGCATACATGCAACAAAACAATTACTCTATATGATTCATGTATTTTCAGAAATGCACAACTAATTTACACAAAAGTATCCCTTTCTGATACCTCATTCAGAATGGAAACTAAAGCAGTCTTGAGTGCTAGAGATGTAATGCAAATTAGTTATGCAATCGCACTAAACCAGGAAGATGGGAATAAATAAGTGGGAGCTAAATGCTTACAAAAGTCCTTGATCCCTGCAGACCTTTTCTTTTGCAGCATTTCGCTGAAACAAACACTACAACTAAGAGGAATACCTAAAGAAGTTGTGAAAAATCGAATTAAAGCCAATCAGAGAATCAAGGCAAAGGCATTGCACTATCATTACAAATAGAAATACAAATAGCAAAGCGTGTGAAACTATTTGGTATATACATGGCCGGTGCTGCAGTGTGGTGCTGTCTTAACTGTACGTATTAAGATCAAAGTAGTGCAAATAACAAAATTTTCAATGCAAAGTGAATTCAAATAATAAAGTTTGAGTGCACATCAAATAGACTATTTTTCAAATACATCAGAGTAGAATTCCAGAAAAAAGAGTTGCTGGAGGGATAATGTTTTCTAGTTTTATCAAATATGAGGCAATGCAGAGATCAAATTGTACTTATTTACATGATTTGATGCAACCAATGTGATGCCACAACACTGCACATGTGAAAGGAAATGATGCTATTTTCTTCACTGCTCCCCCTCTTCAACTTCTGTGGAGGCCCAACTGATTTAACAGACATGGACACACACTTTTCGAATTGGGAGTTGCTAATATACCCTGTAGACTTAAATATGTAAAAACATCTGAAATTGGAATGCTGAAAGTCTTTGTCCAATTTACTTGGGCTTTCTAGTCCGAAATGACATTAATTAAAACCACCGCTTCTGCTGCGTAGGCTTAAACCAGCGCTTTTGAGAGTCAATTCGTTCACGACCACAGTAGAGCCCCACAGGCAGCTTTGCCACAATACCAGAATGTGATAATGTGAAGCATACTAAAATATATGGTCATGCGTTAAGTGCAGTGCACACAGGAATGACGGACGATAGAGAAAAAGCAAACAGGGTTAGCGCTGACTCTCAACTGAAAATTTTTATTGGGAAGGAAGCAGCACATATCTGAAAAAAAAAAAAAAGACGCCAACTAAAAATACAGAAAAGACGGGTCACATCGTTTTTTTTTTTTCGATATATCATCTCTCGCAAGTATTAGACACAATATGTTCAATATCACTCAAGTTGATTGATGGCCTGCTGACACATGACTCCCCTTTTTTTCTGATATGGAAAACTTCAACAGTTTCTCTGACTACTTGCTGTCTGTGACGTGTCAACATCAATGTGTCTTCAAAATGGGGGGAGCAGCCGTATTCGTGGAAATGGTCTGTGAGGGTACATGGTCGATGTTCAGTTAGTGTGCGTTTATGCTCTTTCAGTCTGATGTTAATGCATCTGCTGTTCTGCCCTACGTAGGTTTTGCCACAGGACAGCGGTATTTGGTAGACTCTTCCCACGTAACAGTCAACAAACTTTTTCATATGCTTCATCTTGCATCCAGCATCCCGTGTACGAGAGCTTAGGGGTTTATTTATTTTCGCGCATAGACCAGACAGCTTCTGGGACAAGGAGAACACATCAACATCATATCACATGGCTACATTCTTGATTGCATGCGATATGGTGTTAGCTTCGATTATCTGTCTAACACTTGCAAAACATGATGTATAGAGAAAGAAAACAAAAAAAAAAAGCGATGTGACCCGTCTTTTCTACATCTTGAGTTTGACGTTTTTTTGGCCACATGGTTGTAATAAGTCGAGATGTTTACTGTTTCTTTTCCAATGAAAATTCTCAGTTGAGAGTCATCGCTAGTCCTGCTTGTCTTTTCCCTTTCGTCCGTCAGTCCCATGCATGCCGCACTTTACGCATGATGGATATGTACCAACTTGCTCAAAGTGCTACTTTATTGCAGTATACTTAAAAATATTGTAACAGGAGTGAGAATACTCGAAATGAAGAAAGAAGGCAAAGAAATGTATTAACAATGTTCACGGGGACTCCTTCACCCAAGATGGCGGCACACGAACAACAGCGTGAGAGCTACTACAATTTTTGTCTTGGAGCATTACCTCTTGTTCGTCACAGCTTGTTTTGATATGAAGGGGCCACTTGAACGGTGCAGTGCATCTCCATGTTGGAACCGGCATTTTTTGGGGTCAGTACATTTGTGGCCAACGCGAATTTTGAAAAGCAGCTTCACCGCAATGCGAGAATGTGATGACGTGGAGCATTAAAAAAAATCTGAAGGGGCCACTGTTAATCAAAAGCAATTAATAACGAAAAACAGGTTCATGCAATATGCCTTGACTTCTTAAAAACCTTTGATAGGATTCCCCATAACGAGCTAATTATAAACCTTGAACAGTTTGAAATAAATAACAATAAAGTGGAAGGGAAAAGGTGATATCTTTCATGTAGCGCACAGTACATACAAATAAACAGCTACCAGTCCGATCGCTTAAAAGTTACTTCCGGTGTACCCCAGGGTTTTGTCCTTTTACCGGTATTATTCTTCGACTATATTAATAATATTTGTTTGAATATGGTGACGACATTGGCTGTTTGCCAACGACTGTTTAATTAATTGGAAAACATCTACCCACAGCGATGAAAAAATTCTCGGCAATGCGCTGGCGTCTGTTGAAAAATAGTGGGCAACTTGAAAAATGGAGTTAAACAAAGAAAAGACTATTATTTACTAGCATCATAAACAAGGTTAAGCATGTCCTAAATTTTGACTACGAACTAAGTACCACTGTACTAGCTACCTTTAACAAATGTAAATACTTAGAAGTGATGATATCTAAAGACCTAAACTGGAATCAACATATCAACAAGTTTGTTCTACCGCTGAAAAGAAACTCTGGTTCTTACGTCGCAAATTAAAGCCCACTACAGGACAGTAAATTTAACCGCGCATATAACAATAGTAAGGCCTGCACTAGAATATGCAAGCATCATATAGAACCCTTACCAGAAAGGATTAATGAATAAAATCTAGCGAGTGCAAATGGCGGCTAGATTTGTGCTTTCAAGGTACTCCCAAACTGGTTCTGTGGCAGAAATACTGCAACAACTAAACCTACCCACCCTTTTCGAGCGCTGTCGTATAGCGCTCCAAATTGAAGTAGAATTATTGTTTTTGCTTTCTCAAAATACATTTAACTTTGATGTAGCGCAGCACTTCATTTCACGACATGTCCGAAACCTAAGAAATGAACAGCGCAGAAACTTCCTAATCTCCAAATCTCATGTACTACACATACTCTTATTTCCCTGGAACCATAAAAGACTGGAACAATTTACTGGAGGCTATACGGGATTGTGAACCTTTCGAAAATTTTTAATCCAACCCTACGAAATATTTTTAGAGTAAATGTTGATGAATGCCAACTTGTTTTTTTTTTCTTTTACTTTTTAAATAGTGCAATTGTATGTAGTTCATATCACATATTTCTTGTGATCTGTTGAATTAAGTATAGTGATGTAGAACAGGTGATGTATTGTATGCATAATGAAATATCATGTAATTTTTTTTCACCTGTTCATTGCTGCTTTATGTTTGATGTGCTGATTATTATGTCAGTTTCTTTTTCTTTATGTATATTGACACATTGTGAATCCTAGCTATACATAGCTGCTTCATGTCAACAATGATTTATTTGTGTCCAATTTGTACCCCACCCCTGTAATGGCCTAATTGGCTAACGGTACTTGAAAAAAAAAAAAAAGAATAACCAGACATAGACTGTACAATATGTCTTCGGGAAGTCCAAATCGACTCAAATAGTGAACACCATTAGAAAAATATTCGAAAGTTCAAATATTCGCACACCTCTATAAAAATCTAATGTTACAGTGCAAGCTACTTTGCATTCGTCGAGCCTGTACTCTGATCGTAGTGCATCTCCAACACTGCACTGACCCTGCTCGCATCCAATTTAGGGCAACCCACTTCCCAGAGTAACCCTCGTCTACCTATGGACACCAATAGGACGCTGTCTCTCCATGCCTCACTTCAGCTCCAACATTCATTGATGCTGGACAAACAGTTAAGCCTTCACCCATTTAAGGCTATGTATGTTTTCTAGACTACCGTGAATTAACGAAGTAAAGGAGATTTCTTTTTGTTGGGGGCTCGTTTTCTTTGCTAAACACAACCAAAACAATCTAATAGGCAATTAGGCTAATGAAAGAAAAGGGGCTGTTGATTATTGCCTTGAATTGTAGTGAAACACTTATTATGTAAATTGAAATGATTTAAAGTAGATGAAAAATGACCCTTTTCATCAGAGGGATTCGAGCACACTACCTTTGAATGGCACGTCCAATGTGAGCTATGACTTAAGACACTTTTCTGTCCATTACTTTGAGTTTTTATGTATGTATAATCCCTGAGAGTGTTAGCCAGCACCGCTCATAGCCAAGGCGGTGAGTGTAAAACTCTTATTGCCAGAGGATGTCACAAGGTACATTACCTTTGCACAATGCGTCAGCTGATTAACAGACCATGCTATTGCATGATAATCTAAGGCATTAACCCTTTGAGGGTCTACAACGTACGTGTACGCCATCCACTACAGCCGCAAGACGGTCGAAGACTACACGTATGTCATTGCCTGCACGTTTAAAATGCAAGCCTTGTTTGACCATTTCTCTTGTTTAACATGTGCTGTTACACTGCAGGAATATGTGGAATTTTGTCTTTGTGCCAAAGTCTATCTCTGTTTTTTTTTTTAATGCTTTACTACAGCAGTGCGTCGGCCAGTTTCGGTTTCATACTTCGTCTGGTTCCCACTTGTGCCCACAAAACTGATAGCTTTCCGGTTTAGAATCGTTTAAAAAGTGACTGATTTGCTACTCTCTCGTTCATTGCTCCCCAGTACATGATTATGCCTGTTTCCGTGCAGGCACTGACTGACACAAATGATGCCACTTCGGTTCCATTTCCTGTTTTGTGAACTCACCAAACCCGCATCTGCCTTGTTGGCAATAAGACGAAAGATTATTATAGGTTTCAAACTAGTTTTCACTTTCCAGACATGCTCACAACACATCTTTCTTCAGTGCACTCCTTCTCGCAGTTTGCTTTTGCTGTGGAACTGTGTGCCAGTTTCTCTGCCGCAGGCTAGTCTAGCAGTGAATCCTCTGAATCGCCGTTTAACTGCCACATCAGAATCTGATTCAGTAAATGTCACCCCGTCATACAAGGAGTTACGAGCTAAGACTCAAATGTTGATGAGGGAGAGACACCTAAAGTGCATGCGGCGAGACTATGCTGACTGGATTAGAAGTGGCTTTTCTGCCCCCATGTTTCCAGTCATGACACTTCGTGTACTTATTTTTGTACGTCTGTGAACTACACGACGTACACGTTAATATCAATGCACAATACTTCAACGGTTGTAAAGGCTTCTTTTACAATTTATCTTGCTGTTATTCACAAGCAAACCATGTGCATGTAACACAAACGATATTTTCGTCACTTCACAGTCACCCAAAAAAGTTTGACAATTTAAGAAAAACAGGTTTGCCTACACAACTTAACTGAGCAAGAGAAAAAACACATTTTGGGGGTGCATTTCATGAAAAAATCGACCCACAAAGGGTACAGTCTGCTGGGGAAAGGCCCTTACGATGAATGAATTAAATGAAGAATACCGCGAGTGGCACATGCATCTATGGGCAAACTGCATCTATGGGCAAATGGACATAACAAAGGCAATGAGGAAGCGGATTTGGACTTTCACTACAGCACATTTCTGACTATCTTCAAGCTGTGGCCATGCACGTGCTTCTGAACTGGCAAGCAAAATTCAACAGCCCATGGTGGCCATCATGGCTTGGATGCCTGCAATTTTACTTTGAGATTGCATCGAAGCATTCCCTTGGGCTAGCTCGTGCAAGTTGAACAAAGGCTACGAAATTTTTCGCTGCATTAGCACTACTGAGGAGACACGTAAGGAGGCACTAAAAAATTCATCCAGAACAGGTGGGCACAAACTATCCACTGTTAATCTTTCATGACACACCACCTGACACTGCCTCAAAAAAGAAGGAAAAAGATCAAGAGAAGCGGTCAAAGTGTGAACATAAAAATATGACACCTCAAACTAGAGCAGAGGAACTGCTGTCAAGAATGGTGCGCATAGTAATGTTGCGCAGCACTTCTTAACTCGCTCGTTTTTACCACGGTCGAAACACGCCGTTTAAGAGTTATATTTAAACTTTGCTTAGCGACAAAGTTGGAGTGCTTACGCATGCTCCAAATTTTTCCAAAGCGCCCACCTGTTTTGGTTCTGTTTTTCTGTTCCTCCATAGGTGTATCATCCATAGCACCAATGCAGTGCAAAATTGTGCAACCTTAGTTTTACTTTGAGACTGATGGCGTCATGGATACAACCCCTAAAAGCGTGAACCTGCTAAGGCTGTGAGAGTAGCACACTTACAAAAGTTTGTACCCATGTCCAGCCAAGCACTCCAGCTGCGGTTCACTATGGCAACATTGTACTGCACTACAAATGCACTAAAACCCAAAACCTTCAGAAGCATACAGCCAAAAACATGAAGACGAAACAGTGAGTGCCAGTGTAGCTGCTCTCAAGGACCTTACCACTGACTATGATATCAGGATGCTGATCTTGATAACTTCAGCAAATGAGTGGGAGTGAAGACTGGCTATATTGCCAGTAAATACCACTACGCTTCCCTTCGATGCTATGCTGCAGGACTGATTTGTGTGCAGACTGCATAACAGAGGCCTACAATAATGCCTACTCGCAGAGACAGGTCTTACCTTTTCCAAAGCATAAAACACTGCTGTACAAGTGCAGAGCACTAGTCATCAGTATAGGGATAAGTTGGCAGAATGAGCCTGTACATCAAACCACTCAGCAGGTCTCCAGCTCCAGTACTATGGCAAATTCAAGCAAAAAGACACCGCAATGTTGGGAATGTGATGACAAGCAAAATCCACAAGGATATTGGTTGCAGACAGCATGTAATTTTTGCTGAAAATGTGAACATGCTGAAAGACAAATGCGTGGCACTAGCTTGCTGTACAGCAAGACGCACAGGGGTTGTCAAGCGTTCCCAGGCCACTAGCCCATGTAATCCTAGGACAGTATGGCCTGGGAACTTTCGACCACCCTTGTACACTGTCGTTCTTTATGAAAGGGAACACGTCATCACATAACCTGCTATCTACAAAGGCTGCCTACAATATCTTGCAGCACTTGTCCAGCTGCCATAACTCATTTTGTTTGCCAATAGACGACGCCAAAAGCCAAAATATTATATTTTGCTGTTGGTTGATGATCGTCTCGTAGGCAGCCGCCGCAGAGCGCAGGCCACGGGCTCATGTGCTCCTTTTCATATACGATGACAGTGTACCTTTCAAAAAAACATTGCCTGCTCTTTGCTTCTGATTACTTGCAAGGCAGTGCAACATTCTGCGATAGTTTTGTGAGCACCAACACCAGAGAACGCCCTATCTTCCTAGCACCTCAACGTAAACACCAAGCAGCATGTTTCATCATGCACTTGCTTTTTTACCCGCAATGCAGCATCAACATCACACTCTTCTTGTGCCCTTCCAGCACACCAGCACTTTCGGCAGCTCTGAACAATGGCAATGGAAGTAAACAGATCTTGTTAATAGCATGTGTTTTTTGTGTACTACACGTACTTTCCCCCAACATAACATTAAATTTAATTTCATCACTATCATTTTCATGCAATCAATGAATAAGATAAAGAGGTGACAAGTGAATGCTGATTAGTGGACACTAAACACTATATAATGCTTCACATCAACTTATTCCACTCGTGAGAGCAATTCGCATAATTTTGCTTACCTAAATGTAGACTCTGCTGTCTGTGACAACTTCGCAAATCCAGAAACATCTTAAAGCACTTAAACATTAATGAAAAAACTTAATACGATCACCAACGAGGACCTAATGTGTTGTTTAAATAACTTAAGTGTTACGAGTTACGGCGCATCTGAAGACAGCTCGGTAAAGAGTGTGATTTCAAATAATGGCGATTAGTCCAGGGAAGCAGTTTCAGCCATGCAACACACATACTGCGTGTGTTCACTTAAAGCACCGTAAGTCCTTGCTGCTGAAAGGAAAATGAGATGCCATATACAACCTTCTTTGCCTTTGCAACGAGACTGATACTAACATCGATTGCACTGCATTTCCCTGACAGCAGGAGTTGATGCTCACACATTCAACTACAACACAGCCCAGAGTGTAAAAGAAAACGTGCAGTTGTGATACCTCTGTGCATTATCCTCTTCAAGTGCATGTGCTTGAGGGCAGCACACACCTGTGAAAAGTACTTCCAGATGGTTAGCTCAGGAATCAGCTTACCATGCTGCCTGAAACACTGAAGTCAGTGCAGCACACCATAAGTGAAAATGTTGTTACTAAGCAAACATGGTGCTTTTTCAAAAAACCCAAAATCATTAACAGGGAATGTCTCGGAAAATTGGGATGGGTTTTCTACTGTAAACAATACCACACATTAATAGTTTTACTAAGTGAGCCAATAATTCAACACACTCACTGAGAAGCTTCACAGCAAGGTCACCTAAAAAGAAATCAAAGGGCCAGTCACAAGGCTCCAACTATTTTGGCTACACTCCCAAAGAATCAGAATAATTTGCAGAGTAGACTGTGGCAACCATGTTTTCCTAATATTACAGTGCCACACAGAGCCTTCTTTTCCAAAAATGATTTTTACGCTCCTTTCCTGTGCCTGAGCAATCCTCTTTTCACGTGCAGTGACACAAAGTGGCCAATCAGTGACTTGACGCAGTAAGAAGCTCGACGATTGGTATAAACCAGTCACGAAGACGGGCTACGTCTTCCCCTCTCTGTGAGAGAGAAGAGAGGCGTGGTCGTGCACAAATTTGAAAGCAGCTGAAACCGATGTTCTGACCCTTGTAACTTCCTTAATATAGCACATATTTGCAAAACTCTTGCAACAGCATGTTCACAAAGCGAAAGTGCACATATTTCTGTCTATAACAATTTTTGAACCTCGGGGTTGTGTCAGTTCATTTTTTATAGTGCTTTACGATCCCGGTCTGAACCTTTTCATGCTTCCATCGAGACAGTCTCAAATACTGCTTTCTTGCAGCACAGAACGGGAATGAAGGGGGAGAAAAAAAGAGTTCTGAATTTATACACAAACATACATCACAAGGTGTGCTACCCTGTATAACATAATGGTCTCAGTATTAGGTTGGACAGCATATAGTTGGAGGCCTGCGAATAGTGAATTTTAGAACTCAATCAAATGTGAATTGAGTAGTAATGACACGGAATTAATACAAATACATCGAATGCTTTTCGAATAGTAAGACAATCGTTGTCAACGTAGCCCCAGACTACTATGGTAACAATATTTCAAACAGCCCAAAAATTTCATGTTTTATTTTAAACAAATATTCACAAGCTTTGACAAAGAAAGAGATACCACAGTTATTTAAACTAAGACAAGTTAGACACAGCCGCAAATAGTGCCTTCGAAGTATTTTGCAGCTGCGGGATCGAATACAGCAGTGACTACAGTATTCATGGTGTTACTTTGTGACCATTTGCTACAAAAAACTGAAACATAAATATTCAGCAAGTTCCAAGAATTTCCATTATTATGACAGTCTTGGTACTGCATTGATGTCATGTCATGTTGTTGATTAATGACACAATCGCTTTGGCTATACGTGAGTTTTAATTAAAGGCGCCTTTATCTTGTCGTCAATAGTCCCCTAAGATGCGTCTCATGAACCTGAACAATTCTGTGATGAAAATAAGAAAAGTTATTCTGGCTGCTTCAACATTTTGTTCATTCAAGCATTTTTATTGTAACTGATTATTCAAAAGATATTATAAAAATATTCCATGTTTCCATTATGCACTATTCAACTGGAGTACCAAATGAAATAGAACAATATTTGATTCGTTATTCAAAATTTTCTAACATTTGCACACCCCTACATATAGTGCATATCTACTGTCAATATTGTCTATGGGTACAAAAAGAAAAATTTTGACAGGCATTGCCATATGATATGCACACTCCAAAAGTGTCGACAGCAATAGCAATGCTATGTCTTAAGGCAGCTCTTATAAAGTCCTGCGGACACACATTACATGTACAGTCAAACCCCGCTACAACGAAACTGATGGGGCACGAAAAAAACTTCGTTGAAGCGAAAATTTCGTAGCGAAATTTAAAAAAATATAGCTGATCTGAACTAGCAAAACAAAGGAACGTTTATTTTCAAAATTCAAAAAAAGTCCGCTGCTTCCTATTCTTTCCCAGCAGCGTCACGACGTAATTCTCACCCATGCATAGCGAATACATGGTGAAAAGCACGTTGAAACAACACCTAAAACCGCCTTTGTGAACGAACCAAGCAGTTGCATTAACCCGTTAACACCAGCAGCTGTCCGCCGTCAAAAGTATCCGACAACGCCGAGATGAAGGCGGAATATTGTGTAGCGGCGACTTTTGATTATTCTATGCCATTCTTATCATCCATTAATCACGGCTAGCTGATTTTGTTGATAATGCGGACAAACAGGCTCTCTGATTAGTTATCACACTGGCCAAGCGCGAACATAATGATAAGCATAGGAATAGGAAAAGGCATCGTTCCACGGTTGCTCCCAGCAGCTGCGTGAAGGAAACCATGAACTCAGCGACTGAGCTTCAGCTCTGGATCGTCTGCAGCTTAGAAGTAAGCCAGTGGCAAAAGCAGGGCAGTCTCATTGCCATTGCTATCGAGCAATGACGGCGCCCATGCTTGCTGAACAGCAGCGGTATAGTGGCATTTTCTGGTGGTGCCACTGCGTGTTTTAGACTTTGTTGACGCATTATCAGGCTCTGAAAATGCATCAAAACGTTAAAGATTGGGTTTACTGAATAGAAATAAGTATGTGAGCCTGGAATTGCATCATAAAATTTTGTTGAAACAGGACGATCGAAGAAAAAGTCTTCGTTGTGGCAACAATATTTATACAGTGACCCCTACGGACTACCGACAGGGAATCGTGAATTTTTCATAGTAGCGGAAATTTCGTTGAAGCGGAATTCGTTGCAGTGGAGTTCAACTGTACCTTTCGATCAGCAATTAAAATGGCTAGATTCTCTATGCAATCACTCTAGTGTTCCACCAAAAAAATCAAAAGCAGCATTTAGACCATAAAGTTCCAAGGCATTTCAGACAATTATAAACCCAGAAGTGAAGAGCACAGCAGTATGTAGACGTGTACTTCAAAAGAAAGCACTGTGAAGGTTATTCTTGGTTTGACCAACAAATAGCATGCTCTTCTGTTTATGGCAAGAAACATTAAAAGCAGTCTACTCCACCAGCAGTATCTGTGAAGCACCAATCAAGTGATAAGGTGTACAAGAATGAATGATTTGCAAAGAGTGCAAAACTAGATGACATACGAAGAACTGTGTAAGAGGAAGAGAGTGAGCTGGGAGGGTAAAAAAAAATTGGGACGCATTTACCTGCACACTGCAATGTACTACATAAGTGTGAGTGACGAGTTTTCAAGGTCAAAATTATTAAATGGACTTTCAAAACCGCGTGCAAACTGCCAGGAATATACCATATTCCGATAAGAGACGTACACTGCTTGTGTCAGCAAAATGGCTGCAATATCCTAGTTATGCCTTTCCCATTGATCTGCCTTGTGGCACTTTTATGTGTTACATCGGTGAACAGAGTGATGCTTCACCTGAGATAAGCTAGCAGGGAGTGAGAGACAAATATGGCAAAGAATAAAGCAGAAGGCATTGCTGAAAAATTGCAGCCTAGTCCCATGGTAGTTCTGATGTTACTTCTTAAATGAGAGGAAAATGTGCGCTTGAAAATGGTCGTTTGCATGACGATAGTTATAGCGCGAGAACAGAATGATGAAACAGACACAAGAAGGACACGAAGGACACGAGCGCTCATGTCCTTGTGTCTGTGTCATCGTTCTGTTCTCAAGCTATAACTATCATCATGTCATACCGACTAGCTCAAGCTGCCACACTTCTAGGTTCTTTGCAGTACTATACAAGAAATGCTAAGAGTACCACCATGTATGAGGCTTTGCGTCAGACATGCTCACAGCATAAGATCAGTTTATATACAACTGCGACAGCTATCCGCTTTCAGAAAGGCCAGCTTGGTTTCCTATAATGTAGCAATCATGCATGAGTCCAGGTCGAGGAAGCAAGGCACCTGAATATCCAGGAGGGATGCCCAGGGGGGTTGCTTGCTCCTAAACATTTATTTATGTGCACTGTGCGAATTCATGAAGACCCTTTTCCCCAGCTGTTACAGTTGCCAACCTGCACACATTTAACTTTAGAATATGTAGGTTCCTTTTGTATTCAGCCAAAGATGACATGGAGGTGCATTATTATTGTCTCCTTTTGCTTCAGAAAATCAGTTACGTCAGGGCCAACACAAAAAACAAACGGCATGCTTGACCCCAATATTTCTTGTTTAAAAAAGAAACATTGTTGGAGTTATCGTTGAGATACGAATAAGGTTATTATTACTTTTATTACTATAGCTAATTTATGAATAGGTTATTTTTACGCTCTTGATGCCATTTGCCTCTTTTATGTTTTTCTGTAATCATTGCCTGTGAATAAGCAATAGTAATAAGTATTGTTCTGAATACTGGCAAAACTGTATTCGAATTGTCATCATGAAACTACACTGCTCCAGTCGACTTTATCGACCTTGTCACATAAGTTTCTGCAGACTTTGAAAGGCTTGTTTCTATGTTTTGCTTGTGGATGTACATAAATGAAGTATGGCTATTATTATTACTGATCATAAAAATCCATGCTGTTAATCATCCTCAATCTCCATGTCAATGCCAGGCTGCCCCTTCTCTGGCATGCTTCTCTGCACTACGCAACAGCCTACCTAGCGGTGGCACATGTCGTGGTTCAAATGAAGGCGAAAATTCTAGATTCACATGCTGCAGCATCTCTTTTACGTACGTTAGTTCGAGAGAGCAGAGTATGAATTTTGCCCCGTCACTGCACAAGCAAAGTGTGCTTCTACAGACTGTTTAAAAAAACGACTGTTCTGGCATTAGCTGGACAAACTGCATCACAAGAAAGCTAGCCTTACAATCACGGAATGAGTTTATTATATTCCTCTTCAATCACTTTATGCCACCTGTGTAATAGATTAGTCTGTGGTGTCTGAGTAGAAGTGTTACTTGCTTTCATTAGCCATTTTCCGACAGCCCTCCAACTTTTAAACAATTTTTAAGAGCATCGATTAGTACAATGATTAATGCATTGAATAGCCCTTCTGTCTGAGCATTATCTGCTAGGCTATTTTATTCTGCACTACAGAGCCCCTCATGTTTATTAGTACAACCCCTTAGTGTAATTACAGCATGTCCAAAGAACGCATATGAGTTAATAATGCATAAGAAACACAGAATAAGAAACACGGAACAAGAAACAAGAAATTCAGACAAGACAAATGTTAATTTAATTGAGAAGCACCAACTTGCTTAGCTTGCCATTTTAATACTCAAATGAGCCACAGGAGACGATGGTCAGTGTGAGTATAAGGGAAGTATCCCGTGCTTGCTCAAAAGCATGTGCGTGCTCATTTGGAAGCTCATCAGCAACGGGGGCCTTGTTAAGCTGTCAGATGCTCAGACAGAAGGCCACTCTACATGTACGCATCTAAACTAGCTATGCCTTGTCATTGTGCTAGCTTACGCTACCTTGAGATTAATAAAAAAGTGGAGAGCTATAAAAGCTTGTTCTGCTGAAAACACTTAGAGTTAGCAATGCCTGCTATCAACGGGGGACATGTTCTTCTTGCTCATGACAGGTGAAATAGGTACTGTCGATACAATGACAAGAGAGAGAGAACAAGACAAGACATGTCAACAGTCCAGCTGGCTGCTCTGTACTGTGGGATTGGGTAAAACAAAAAAAAATGGGACAAAGCAAAACCACCTCCTGTAGCATTATTAGCAGGTTATTTAACAAATTCAAAATGCTAACAAAGTCAAGATAAAATAATATGATATTTCAGTACCCATCTGTATCCCTTGTTCACAATCTTAATGGTTAGGTGCTTAGGCTTATTACCTGAAGATTTACCTGAACATAGGGCATTTACCTGAACAGACAGTATCTCATCGAACTCTTGACTATACTTCCCTTAGCAGTATGTGGAATAGCAACAAAATTTTCAGCAAACAATGTGCTTAAAGCAGTACCTGTTGCCTTCTTTGCACTGTTGCGTTGCGTTAAGTACTGCATGTGCAGGCATTCAAACAAGCTGGGCATTCACAAAGTGCTGCTTTTAGAAGGTACTGACACAAATTTTCGAAGCTGCGTTTATTCTGTCATATAAATCGCCTGAGTACAAAGATCACTATGAGCAAGTGTGAAGGCTCAGGAAATGCTGATAAAATACTTCATTTTATTATTGAAGTCAATTTTCGCACAGCGCACGTACTGACATTGACACTAGTGTGACATCAGACTACAGTATCTATCCTTGTGGCTTTATGCACCAGTATGGCTAGTTGTGATAGTGTCATGTACCAAAACATAATATGGTCGCTCGGCCGTTACCAATGGAGCCATGAAGCAGAGTGGCCGCGGGAACTCGTGCGATATCTCGTGTCACGATGTCAGGGTTCAGTAGGAAGAGAAACTAGCCTTTAAAACTGGAGCTGTGCGAATAGCGAAATTTCGGGTGCGAAACGAATTCGTATATTAAAGTTTGAGTACGAATCCAATCAAATATTTTTTGAGTACTTCGAAGTGAAATTACATGAAAAAAAAGTTGCAGATGATCCCCAAGCACATTCTTAGGAGATGAAACTCGGAAGTGTTCCTTTTGGTTAGGTTGGTGAATTGCTGGAGGGATGGTGTTCCCTAGTTGTTTTATCAAGGATGAGGCAATGCAGAGGCCAAATTGTATTTATTTACATGATTTGGTTCAACTGATGGTATGTCACAACACTTCACACATGAATGAAAAAGACGATATTTCCTTTACCTCTTTCCTCCTTCAACTTCTGTGGAAAGCCCAACTTATTCGGCAGACAAGGGCACGCTCGCTTTGAGTTCGGAGAGAGAGAGAAATAACATTTATTTATATATTCGGTGTATAGGAAGTCCTTGACCTCGCAGGGCGTGGATGTTCCCTATCTTAAGATTACGGCTATTAGAGTTCGATAATCTCAGAGCCTACACCTCGAGGATGTTGTGCTCCGACTAGACGACAGTTACTCGGGTGCCTCCGCGCACGTTAGACGGGTCGTCGGCTCTTTTTCTCGGTTGCTTCGCCAAAACCTCCTCAAGCCGCTGGACGGCCCTTCTTCGAATTTGGAGTACTTAATCTGCCTCATAAACATCAACATATAAGAAAAGCTGTAATTTCAAGTGCTAGAAATCTTCGGCGTCTCATTTTTTGAACATTCTGACCAAATTTCGGGTCTAGAACAGCATTAACAGAACCCCTTCTCATCTCCATATTGGAGCCAGAGTTTTCTTGAGCCAATACATTTGCGACCGTAATAAAGTTTGAAAGGCAGCTTCGCGCATTGCGAGGCTGTGAAGTGGTGAAGCACATAAAAATCTGAAGGGACACATTACTAATCGGACATTGACCGCATTTGTTTTCGGGAAGTTTGAACACTCTGAATTAGTACAATTTCAATGCAAATTTAATTCAATAGCGACCACTACTAAAAAATATTCAAAGATTCTAATAATCGCACCCTCCTACATAAAACATGCTGTAATTATTTTTCATGGCGACTCACACTTACTAGTACACTATCTAGGCTCTTAAGGACACGATATTCGATTCAATGCGAAAAAAAAGACAACATAAAATTTTTGTGCCAGCACCCCTTCATGCTCTCATCTTTCTACTTTCACTTTTACTTTTACTTTGAGAAGCAGGCATGGCTTAAAACACCAAGTGTACAATACAAGAGACAACGATTTGTTTATACTCGCCCTTTCACATGTAGGAAATGTGCAATGAAACTTGCCTTTATAAAGCGTGCCAAGTCCCCACCACCTGCCAGCTCAAGAACAATGAATAATTCACCATCCTCAAAAAATGAGCTCAAATATTTTATGATTTGTGGATGGTCGAGCCTCTGCAAAAAGGAAGAAGAAAATAATTAGGAAACAACAGGTGCACATGGGAAAGAAATGTTTTGGTTTATGCCACCTTGAAATGTGAAAAAACTTTGTTAAATGAAATACATGTTTCATCATAATTATCTATACCATTCCTAGAAGAGCCAGACCTTAGGCACCAGCTAATACTGTAAAAAAAGGAATTCGCAGGGCAGTAACCAGTATATTGTTCATATTCAACTGTGCCAACCTGGTCCAACTGCCCATTATTCACAACAACACATCACTTTTCATCCTGATGACAATTTGTCGCAAACAGTCATCTGATAAAAAATTAAAAAGGAAAAAAATGTTAAAAATTTTTATACCGTTTTTTTTGTTAATACAATATTTCACAGATGTTTCATTTCATTCACTCCACATTAAAGTTTCACATGAGCAAGGAGTAGTCACATATTTGCAGCTTACATAACATAGCAAGAAGCAATCATGAAGAATATAGACAGTGAGGTCTGTAGCGTCAAATATGACAATTTGCAAAGTAAAAATATCTTTAGAACAAAATATTACCCCTTAATGCAGTACCGATAGAATTTGTTTCTTCACATCCAGGAAGCATTTACAACTACAATGAGAAAATTATGAAAATGAACGGCACGCCTCTGACACCCGATTCCATTACACATATGAGGAAATCATGCAAGCATGGTGAACTACTATCATCGCTGTTAATATAATAATAAAGGTAACCATGTTGCAAGAATCTTATGCTGAGTAGCCTAGTAAGACAGTAATAAGATTCACTGCATTGCATTATTTCCCAAACGGAAGCTTGCCTCAATCGTCATTCTGACAGCTTAAATAACATGCACTCATAGATGCAGGTTCTTTCACAAATGTCATTATTTGTAGTGAACATTTGCACGACTGGGAGCACTAGGTATATACAATTTTTCAAGTTAAAGCCCTCGTTCACATAAGCTCAATTTTCACGCAGAGCCGGCACTTCACAGTCGGTTCAGTCCAACAAGATTGTTGCAAGCACTGCTTCCCAATTTCAGTCACAATAAACCCGGTGTGCATGTTGATGCTATAAAACTTTTTTCTCTCCCAGCGCTCACAAATGGCTGGACGCCTCAATACAGTTGCACACCTCTAGCTCATGAAGCAAAAATAAAACAAAGATGAACAAACCTTTGCACATAATGAAATAAAACTTTATGTAAAAACAGAAACAGTCATATAGCACACCTGGAGCAGATTTCCACATGGTGAAAGAGAAATATATATATATATTGCGACGATACAGACACGGATGTTCAAGCCTTTACACAACGAGCTGAAGAGACACGGCAGCTAGCGCACATGCGAATTGCCCGACAGCAGAGTTACAACGCACAACGTTATAACCTGTGACACCGATACGTCACTTATCAACCAGGCGAGAAAGTGTGGGTCTGGAGCCCTATTCGCCGACGCGGCCTTCCTGAAAAGTTACTGAAGAAGTACTTTGGTCCCTACAATGTTGTACGGTGCCTAAGTGATGTGAATTATGAGGTCATCCCTAACAGTTCCTCGCGAGCTCAAAAATCTTAAATCGTATACGTTGTGCGGATGAAGCCATATTGCAGTGAGCCCGTTGCGTAATATACGTAAACTACATACACCGCGTATTCTGTAGCCGAGCATCAGGTCGATGCTCTTCCTGGAGGGGGGCAAATGCCGCATTCAACCTGCAGAGGAGAGCTCGCGCAGCCAGAGAGGAAGACAAAGCTCTTGCCCGGTCCTCTTTACGAGCGCCTTGCATTTTAATTAAAGTGAGCTCTTCTATATCAGACTCCTGCTGTGTCTACATCGTGACAATATATATATATATATATATATATATATATATATATATATATATATATATATATATATATATATATATATATTTGGTCACGTAGATCCTCCGTGAGCCGTCACAACGTGGTTTATCTCAACGTTTCGGCCTAGAGTCTGGCCTTCATCAGGATTCGTGTATGTATATATATATATATATATATATATATATATATATATATATATATATATATATATATATATATATATGTATATATGAGAAAGAAGTGTATACCTAAGGGCTCGTTACAATAATGCCAAGGAATGTATAGGGGAAGTTATTAGAATCGATGTAAAGTAAATAAGAAAAAAGAAAAGTGGGTGACAAAATAAGTTGCCGTGAGCAGGAAGTTGCTCACGGCAAGTTATTTCGCTCCAGGGGGCGAAAGCTCGAAACTGCCTCGAGCTTTCAACCCCTGGAGCGAAAACCGGCTCCTCGCGCGCTCTACAAAGACGTGGCGGCGACTGTACATATGATGACGTGTATGACTAATGCTCACACTTATTTTCCCCCCCCACATAAGCGGCCAGCCCAGATGCATCTTGAACGAAAACGGAACGTCAAACGAATGGCTTCAAATGTGATACGTGGACAATCTCCGAACCGCGATAGCGGCGATCTGAAGAAAGATTGGTGGGAGTGACACGTTAGTTCACTGGTGACATTTGTTCATTCATTGTATAGGGTCCAATGAAGCGTGACTGAAGCTTGCCGCACAATCCTGGAGTACGAATAGGCGTCCAAAGCAACACTTCATTACCCAGACTGAAGGAGACGTCGCGATGACAGCTGTCATGTCTTTGCTTGCAGTCTTGCTGATTGGCTTCTGTATTCAGGCGAGCTCATTGCCAAAATTCTTCGAGCCTTAAGATGAACTGCTCTGATACGGTTGCCAAGGTGTCAGTTCGAACATTTAGGAAAGAGACATCGATGTTGAATGTCGGTGAGCGACCGTACACAGGGCAGAAAGGAAAGTAGCCTGTACTTCTTTGAACAGCAGTGTCATTGGGCAAACGTCACAAAAGGCAAAATTGTATCTGAATTGTCGAGGTTTGGTGCAATATTTATCGATAGCATGTCTTTTAGTGTCCGATGAAATCTCTGTCAGCCCATTAGTTTGGGGGTGGTAGACTGACTTCGTCTTATGTAGTGCCACAGGTTGTGAGCAAGGTTTCCATTATGGTCGACAGGACCGTCTTGGCGTGATCACTCAAGAGGACGCGTGGTGCACCGTGACGCAATACAATGGCATTGAGAAAGAAGTGTGCGTCGTCTGAAGCAGAACTTGTGCATAGTGCAGCAGTCTCTGCATACCGTGTCAGCTGATCGACAGCAGTCCCAATTTAACAATTACATGCTGGCGTGATGGGGAGAGGTCCAAGTAGGTCTATGCCAACGATGGCGAAAGGTGTCACGGGACACGGGATTGGTTCCAGAAGGCCAGCAGGACAAGAAGTTGGTCGCTTCCACACAGATGGCAAGATGCAATGTCCTTGGCACTGAATGTAGAGATGCCAAGCCAGAAGAAACGTTTATTGATGGGGCTTTGTGTTTTGTGAAACACCAAGTGGCCTGCACATGGGTCGTCGTGAAAGCCTTCGAGGACTTGGTGACGTAGAGAACGCAGAAGTACTGAAACCCAGGGTGTCCATCAGTAGTGTAAACGTAACTATTGAGCATATTGTTATTGAGCTTAAATTGCCGTCTAGCATTAGGAGTAGGTGATAGATATGCCACTTGGCCATTGTATAATGTGATTGCAATATAGATCATCACGCTGGCGTGTGGCGAACTTGGTGTAGCGATTTGAAGCCAGCGTGTCCGTAACCACAAAGTGGGATAATGTGAGAGGTGACGCAGTGTCTTGGCCACGAGACGAGCAATCAGCAGACGTACTCGATGATAAAAGTGGAAGGGGGCAGCAAGAGAAAGCATCTGCATTTTGGTCTCTTGCCAGACTTGTAGATGACGTCAAAATCGTACTCTTGTAGGCAGAGCACCCAACGACCGAGCCGACCAGACAAGTTTTTCAGTGACGATAGCAAGCATAAGGCGTGATAGTCTGTAACTGTAACTGTGAAGTGACGTCCATAAATATACGGTCGAAACTTTTGTATGGCCCAAACGAGAGCGAGGCACTCCCGCTCAGTTATGGAGTAGTTCTATTCAGCAGCCGTAAGAGCACGACTAGCATACGCAATAACTCTTTCTCGTGAAGTGGCATGCCGCTGTAAAAGAACTGCACCAATGCCATGGCCGCTCGCGTCAGTGTGCAGACACGTAGGTGTGTTTTCGTCGAAGTGACACAGAAAAGGGTCGTATGGTAAATCATGCTTGAGGGCTTGAAAGGCACGCTCGCAGTCGTCGTTTCAAGCGAAGGTAGATCCTGATGTCGGCAGCTTGTGCAGTGGCGACGCGATTGCAGCAAAATGACTGATGAAGCGGCGAAAGTAGGACGCCAGGCCCAGAAAACTTCGTAGCTGTTTCTGATTTTCTGGCTGAAGGAAGTGTTATACGGCAGCAAGCTTGTCATGATCCGGCCGAACACCATCTTTGCTGACAAAGTGGCCCAACACTTTGATGTTCTTGTTGGCGAAATGGCATGTCTTTGTGTTTAGCTGAAATCCAGCATTGGAAATACAAGTCAAAACTTCGTCCAAACGCCAAGATGCTGACGAAAAAAAAAGGAGAAAATGACTATGTCATCTCGATAGCAGAGACATGTTTTCCACTTAAGGCCATGTAGAAATGTGTCGATCATACGTTCAAACGTGGCAGGAGCATTACATAAACCGAATGGCATGACATAGAATTCATACAGCCCGTCTGGTGTTGCAAAGGCAGTTTTTGCGTTGTCCAATTCGTGCATAGGTATTTTGCCAATAACCAGACCTTAGGTCGAGACTGGAGAAAAATTCAGCACCTTGCAGAGAGTCAAGTGCATCGTCGACTCGTGGCATCCGGTGCACCTATTTTCATGTGATCTTATTAAGTGCTCGATAATCGCGCAGAATTGCACTGAACCATCTTTCTCTTGAACTAACACTACAAGTGATGACCACGAGCTGGACGAAGGCTGGATAACATCTCGTTTGAGCATATCAGCAACATCGTCCTCGATGATTTCACGCTCTG